AAAATGTGTGTATCTACACACACACACACACACACACACACACACACACACACACACACACACACACACACTCACTACTTTTCATTTATTTTTAACAATTAAATTTTAGTAAGGCTATCTCCAAGAGATAGTCAAATCCTGATGTTTTTATCTCATTGCAAACACTTAGCCAAAAATAATTCCCGATTTTTGTTTTGTGTGTGATCAGTCATCCAAAAAGTTTCTGCTTGACTTATTTTAACAATTAATTGTAAAATAAACAGTCTTCATTATCATATTGTCAACAAAAATAGGCAGCAAACACACTACAGCATTTACTAGTTCTGAACAGTTGTTGGATATATTGCACATATGTTGTCAAGTATTAGTTATGTCATACAAATTCTGAGGTAGATTAGAATTTTTGTACGATAGTGGTTCATAATAGGGATAGGGATTGCACAAAAACAGTTGAAACGATACTTTGAAACCTTTACTATTGACTGCTAAGGCTATAAACATAAAAATTTACAAAAATATCACACATGTTAGACTTGCAAGAAAAAGAAAATCTGCTCAAAACGGCCCATTTGTAATTCTTCTTCTTATTATTATTATCATTCTCTTGCCAGCCTACAACAAAAACTGCTTGGTATATTGCACCCAAACCTTCTGTAGAATACTAAATAAGGTACTGTGAAGGTTATAGAGGTATTGAAAAGTAGATTTGTTTCTTCTATATTTTACATAAGCTAAAAAACACATTATAATTCTAGTGTAAATGATATCATTACTCCTTGAAATTAGCTTTCTTACAGATATTTGGTGTACCTTTAAAAAGCTTAAGTACAGGGTGAAACAGGAATTACTAGCCAATAATAGATGAACATTAGATGACTAACATGTAGATACTCAATGCTTGGTACACTATACAATTAGTATCTTTAGGGAACCAACACCTATATCATGTATGAACTGAAGGAGTAAAAAAAAATCAATACACGTAATATTAAATTCCGATACAGTACTTCCCTCTTCTCACGAGATTAGCTTTTCACATTTTGTGCTGCCCTCTATATGTGAACTGTTTTAAAACACATGCCACAAGCCTTCCACACCTCCCCAATTGGAATCAAAGATTCCAACATGTCTCTCATGCAAATCATTATGCATCATCTCTCCACCAACAGGAGAGCACTGCTATCACGTGATGCATGTTTGGCAGTGCTTAAGTTCAGATGTCTTTTTTTTTATTCTTCTTGAAGTGGTTTAACTTAATTTAATTTGCTTTATTTCAAGATTTTTTTTCTACTTTCAAAAGCCTTTGATTGACCCATGTTTTCCCAGAAAACATTTTGCTTGTTTGTTTGGTATCAAGCATGAATTCTGAAGTTAACATTATCACTTCAGGTGCATCTCATTCATCTGATGCCGTCATTCAGACCACAGGTGCGGGCAACCTGTTGGGGGATTTACTGGCCTTTAATTGCATGGAGTTTAAACATTATATGGGACAAACTGTGTCTCTTGCCATTGCCCCTCTTCCTCCTAAGCCTTTTGAGTCTGGCCAGGCTGACGAGGATTTTGATCATTTGTTTTCCCACCCAGAGTTCGCTATGCCTTTCCAAACCCTACCTGAGGATTTTGTTCGGCCCTTGTTGGTTTTCTAAGATTTTATTTCTCAGGTACGTGATGTTTTCTCTATTGCTCCTATTTCTTATGACCCATGTCCTTCCCTATTACATGATTCTGTCTCCCAATCTTATTTAGTTTTCCCCCATCCCATGATATGCAGTTTCATACTGAGCTTTTCGCCTCCTAGTTAGGTGATGCCGTTAGTTTGTCTTGTCCCACACGGGCTTCGGATCAGTCTGCCCTCGCTTTTCATAGGACAGACCGTCCATAACTGGACCAACATCTTATCAATGCCCAGTATTTCAGTCTTCGTCTTACCCTTACGACTCTTTTGCGGTACCTCTTCTCAAGCCATCTCCTGTCTGAGGCTCTTCACAGGAACCATTAGGGGGTTTCTGGGGATGTCCTCTCACTTCCATGTTGGCTTGCCTGTCATCTTCAGCTCTGGCTCTGCAAATGTGGTAAATTTTTTGTTGGGTCTTTTTGGGTTGTGATGAAATATTGTCATGCACCTGTCTCCTGGCTCCTTATTTACTGGACCTTCGGATGGCCCCATTTTTGAGAAGTTTTGGGTTTGATGCAATCCCAGAGTTTTTGGAGTTTAGAGTAACTTCGGTCCAACAACAATCCATCCTTTCTCATCTGGAGGCCCATTTGTCCCAGTCGGAGCCAAGTGTGGCACCAGTTCCTGTCTCCCAATCCTCCTTGCAGTGTCACTCACTGTTCATTGTTTTTCCCAATGATGCATGGTACGCCAACAATGGTTCCAGTGACTACTTGGTGGGTTTAGGTCTGATGGAATTTTGTCTGGCGATCTTTGTTCATCAGTGGAGCCCTTTCATCTCTTTCATATTTGGGTTCACTGAGTTTTGTCAGAGGGATTTGTCATACATTTTCTTCCCCTGTCCCACGTGCCTGTTTCCTTTCTTCCTTCTTGGGATCTCTTGTCACGGCAGCATCTATCTGAGGTGGTGCATGTCCTCCTCACACAACAAGCTATTGAACCTGCTCCATGCAGTTTTGGAGTTTTTTTTACTCCCTCCTGTTTGTAGTTCCCCAAAAAATAGGGGACTGGAGTACGATCATCGAACTGTTCTGTCTCAACCCATATGTTCACACCCCACACTTCACCATGGAATACTACCTTACTCTTGGGTGGGCTTTTTCTCTGGTTCTTTGGATGGCCAAGATGGATGTCTCCAATGCTTATCTGTATTATCAAGTGTTCTTGTCCTTATCTTTGGTTTGTCCATCGTAGGGCAGTGTACCAATTTCCCACCCTAACCTTTGGGCTGGCTTTGGTGCCATACATTTTGTCAGGTCATGTGAACCTTTGCTCTACATCTTCATGCCCTGGGTTATGCTTTCACTTTTACATGGACCACTGACTTCTTCTCACTCATTCTGACCTGGAGTCGGCCTGTTATACTCATGAGCTCCTTCTCAAAGATCTTTGGTAGACTGGTTGATCAAATTGGAGAAGTACTTGCATCATCCTATCCAGTATGGGTGTTTTCTTCAACACCAATCTCAGTTGAGGCCAACCTTCTACTCTCTGGCTCTGTTCTATGGAACTGACTGTTCTGCTCCTTCACTTTCTGCTCATGAGGTTCTATCTTTTTTGTGGATGTGGTCTTCTATGACTCCTTTCATACCTCTTTGCCAGGCTCATATGCGATCCCTTCAATTGGTCCTCCACAACCACCGGAACCTTGCTTTGGATCCCTTGGATGCCCCTATCACACTTCCTTCCTACGTTGTGGATGATCTCTGATGGTGGTTGGAAAAGGCTTTTACATCGGCGGGTATCACGCTTTCTCCTCCATGGCCAGATTTACATCTGTTCCCAGATGCATCCCTTCAGGGCTGGGGTATGTGGGTTGATCATCAGGAGGCTTCGGGTCGTTGGTCTGTAGGGGAACGTTCTCTTCATATCAATGTTCTCAAACTCCTTGCTGTTCCTCGGGCTTTGGATCACTTTCTTCCCATCTCCAGAGATTGTCTGGTCATGATCCAGTCCGGCAATTCAAAAGTGGTGGATCATATCAATCACCAAGGTGGCACCTGGTTGAGATCCCTGTGTTTTCTAACATTGGATCTTGTCTTTTGGGCCCATGATCCTCACATTTCCATACAGAGGGCAGCACAAAACAGGAAAAAGCTAATTTTGTGAGAGGAGGGAAGTATCTATTTTCAGATAACTTTTATTATACAAATTCATAGAATAATTACTTTAAAAGACACTAAAGTTCATTTAAAGCGATGTTTTAGACGTATATGTTTTATTTTTCAAGATATAATCAAGCTTTCCTTGTCTCTCTATCAACAAGAAAGTAATGTTTCTGGTTAAAGTTTTATTTTTTCCTCCTTGGATATAGAGATTTCCCTTTTTATATTTACAGGAAAGCAGTTTTCCTAGGTAATATTTTTTCTGAACATAATCAAGCTTTCCTTGTCTCTTTGCTAACAGGAAATCAGTATTCCTGGATAATGTTTTTTATGAACATAATCAAGTTTTCCTTGTGTCTCTGCTTACAAGAAATCTGTATTCTTGGGTGATGTTTTTTTATGGACATAATCATGGTTTCCTTGTCTCTAAATACAGGAAAGCAGGGTTTCTGGTTGATGTTTTTTTTGGCTGGATATAGTTGAGCTTTCCTTGTCTCTGCCTTTAAGAAAGCAGCAACGTGATGTAGTTTTGCTGGGCATATTCAGACTTTCCTTTGCTCTCTATGTCTACAGGAAATAAGTAATTCTGGCTATGTTTTTTGCTTTCCTAGTTTCGTTGTCTACAGGAAAGCATTGTCTGTGGATATTTTTTTGTTTTTGCTGAACATAATCATGTCTTTATCTCTATACTAATAGGAAAGCAGTATTAGGTGGACTTACAGCTGGAGCTGCAGGACAGTTTTTGGCTAGTCCAACAGATCTTGTGAAAGTCCAGATGCAAACAGAGGGAATTCGGAGGTTGCAGGGTTATTCTCCAAGGTAGGAGTTTCTGTGGTAGGTATAATTGTTATTGGCACTGATCCATGCTTGGCTAGTTAAAAGCAATCCAAGAATAATTATAGTGCAAGGTATACATCGTACCACACAGGTTTTATGTTGCTGTAATTGTTAATGTTGCTTTTTTCTTAATTTAATGGTAAGTTGAACCTATTTTGTGTTCTGTAATACTGTTAATATTATTTAATTGTATTCCATAATGAAAACTTATGCTTTAGAACAGCCAAGTGCAGACTACCAAAGTTTTGTATTAAGACTGAGTAAGATTGTGTGATGACAAGCCAAGATGATATGTCAAAAATTAAGAAAAGATACTGTAATATACTTCATAGAATCAATTGGAAAGGGAGAACAGAGCCAAATTCATATTAAACATAAAGGCTACTGTGAAATGTTGACAAACTGGAACTGCATCTGGTTAAAAAGCATGTTTCAAATATCTTTGAATGCATCTCTCTTTCAAATGAACTTGATATGTTACTGTTATATACCAGAGAAATGGGGGAGATGTTTCAAACTCTGGCATGAGAAACTATGTTAATAGTTATAGAAAACTTTTATCTTGGGTAACAAAAGTTGATGTAAGGTTCAGCTTGTCAAAATGTGTATTTTAGGTTTCTGACAATCTCAATGAAAGTGAAAAATACTTATTCAAACATCTTTCAGTAAAAAATATGTACCAT